ATTCTCTGTCTTTACCCAGAGATCTTGTACTTCCAGCCCAAACCAGTCCAGGAGTCCTTCTGATCCTTGAAAAAAATCCCATCCCGTTAATGAACGCTACCAAGCAGTAACTTGGTGTGGAATTTCTCAGGATAAGCTTGGAATAGACAAAGTTCTGTATTTAATGTGATATTATAGATACTGTTCTGTGAAGTTTTCGTTGCTTTATCAAATACTCTGTTTCTGCCAGGAAAGTATTTTTAGGAATAATCTATACAGCTTCCAGTGTTTTGATCAGATGTGAAAAACATTTGACGTTTTTCAGAGGAGCAGTCATTTAACATGATTAATGCTATCAAGAATCTCACTGAGCTGTTGCACCTTTGCATATATTATTTGGTTCCTTGTTATCTTTTAGTCTCACTGAACAGACATAATCAGAATCCAATAAATACATTTTAAAAACGTCTAATGTAATTTAGCTACATCAGATAAAACTTCATTTTTTCCAGTCCTGTATTTTTTCTGGGTTACAAGAGAACAGGCAGTAAGCCATCAATTTTGACATTTTAACTTTCTGTTTGCTTTAGTGTGGTTTAAAGATAAGGCTAGTGTCCATTTTTATAGATAAATTTAAAATTTTTGCATAGGACTTCTGAATTATGAGCTTTTCATCCCGCTGACCTTCGGTGCCACCTGGTTTGTCTCATTTGACCACGTCCAAGCCCTCTGTAGCTGTTACAGAGTGACCAATGCTTTTATCCCATGACCAGTCTAGCAAATCCTGTGCACGTGAAGTTGATCATAAATGAAATATCTGGTCAGAATCACCCACGTTGTACATTTCAGACAGATCACATTATTCTAACACCTTTTCTCAGGGGCTGGAAGACACAACTTGAAGTTACTGAAAACTAGGCAAGGGATCAATGTTTGAAAAATAGCAATAGATGTTGTTAATTTTCCTTAGGAAGCAGGAGACCACTTGCTTTGTCCCATCCTTCCAGCCCCAGCACCGACAACATGCAGGTGAGCCCCACAGCGGAACATGCTGAGCTGCTGAGAATCTGCTTTGAATTTCTTATTGGATTTAGTTTGCGGCACCCACCGCTCCAGGTAGCTGTATGTATTAGGGATGTGATAATATATCTATAACAGAATGTTTTAGGGACGCAACAATAATATTTATAATATAGTCTTACAGATACTATAACTGATATTGCAGTTGAAGATATTATATTAATATTTCCCTTTGCATTTTACAGTAATCTTTTAAAGCAGAATGCTCAGGGCGCTGTTTGATGAATTGAAACCCAAACTGGAAAGAGAGATTCTCTTTTTTTGTTCTGATCAAGATATTTAAAGGCAAGAGACGGAACATATGTTCATTTTCCAGATATACCCCATTAAACGGAGGGAGAGAGATTTTGTAGCGGGACGCTTCAGACATAATCTCCAGCACTTCTAAGTAACAGCTCCAGCCTTCTCTCTTCGTTCGGTTTCCAGCTTTGGCTGATGAAGTGCAGATGCGAGCCGGCTTTCCAGCGAGGAGAAAAGGAGGAGGAGGGGAAGGACAGGAAATTCCCAGAGCATGAGCTGGGGGCAGGGTAAAACGCTGCTTGGCTTCTGCATGCGACAGCGGGGCCAGGCCTGGAGAGAAGGGTTGCTGCCTTTTAGGGATGCAAGGGCAGATCTGTCCTTCCGCTAGCAACTGTTGAGACGTTTTGCCAGGAGTTTAAGTGAGCCTGTTCTGCACCTCCTGTTTCTTGTTCCTTAACCAGACCTGCATTAATCTGCCCACGTTCCCAAGGAGCAGCCAAACGATGGGCAGGACTCACTGGAACGGGTTGCTCAGGGAACCTGTGGATGCTCATCCCTAGCAGTGTTCAAGGCCAGGTTGGACAGTGCTTTCAGCAGCCTGGTCTGGTGGGAGGTGTCCCAACCCATGGCAGGAGGGTTGGTGCTGGATGATCTTTAAGCTCAAGCCATTCTATGACTCCTGCTCTAGTGCTGGAGGTGTCTTCTGGCCAGGGGGGTTGTGCCATCTCAAGGCCAAGGCTGGTTCCCTGAGATATGGAGAAACATGGAAGCAAGTTGATGATGCTTCCTAAGTTGTTCTTTTCTAAACCCATCCTGTGCCTGCCCGGTTCTGCCACCGTGTCTCCCCTCTGATCAGCCTTGGCATGGAGAGGTTGGAGGCATCTTCTTGGGGTGAAGGTCCCCGATCTTTCTGCAGGAGCTGTGTGGGTCAGTCCCAGTGTCCTGACCCTCACCCAGGTTTGGGAGCGTGGATCTCCTCCCTCATCCCCGTCTGTGGCTTTGGTGAGACACGGTCGAGGCTGTTGCCCTGTGGCCGTGGTGCTCGGCGGTGGTCGGCAGCTTTGCAGGTTGTGCCTCTCTTGGGCAGCAAGACCTCCTACATGTTGTGGAGGAGTTTAGTTTTTAACATACTTCAGATCTTTTGCATTTCCTGAGATGGTCCTACTCTAGTATCCTTCTAGGTTTTTAATAACATAATAAACAATCTATTAAAGCAGTAAATGCAAACAAATATATTAATAAGTATTTAATATATGCATACAAAGATGGTTTGTGCACGCAGATAGTGTGTTGCTGTGTCGGTAATACTTGCGTAGTGAATGGTCTCTCAAAGCAGAAACAGTTCCCTAATATTCTGCAGTGGGAAGAAACTTGAAACAATACATGTACCAACCTGTCAGAGCATTGTTTTTCTTGCGAGGGACATGTCTGTGGGAGAGAACCAGCCTCTGCTGTAGCTCCACATGCACCAGGGGAGAAGTTTTGACTGTGAGTTCTCCACATGCTGAAACTGTAAGGGCTGAAAATACAGGTTTTTTTCAGTGTGTGAACCTCAGCAGAGGAATGCTCCATACAGTTCTCGGGCACAACCGCAGCACAAATTAAGTACATGATGAGCAGCGGCATCTTCTAAGTCCTCCTGTGTGTCTCTTCTAAGTCCTCCTGTGTGTCTCTGCACACCGTCCGCTTGCAACTTTGTACTTTAAAATAAACTATTGGGTCTGTTTCCTTTTGAAAGTTTCCACTCCCTGTAGTCTAAATAAAATTTCTCATCTGCTCAAGTCCATGAGCTCTCATCTTCTTGCATTAAGGGAACTGTGAGCTGTCAAGGCTCTGGAAAAACAGATTTTGATTTCCTCTCAGAAACTTGCTGTTAGTCAGTTTGACAAAGCCCAGCACAGCCGTGCGTTCCTTCACCCTGAGTGAAACGGCTCTCGGCACCTTCTTCTGGCACGCGACACGTTTTGGAAAATGCATTTCTTTTGCTTGTGCGTAGTGAAGCACGGCCGTGGCCCCGTGCACGAGACCTGACATCTTTTACCAGTGAGGGAACTCTCCCTGTCCTTGCTGATCAAAGCCCGCTGACAATATCTGACGTGATCTGAGTTGCTATATTGAGTAGCAATGCACAGACTTACCCTCAGGTGGATCGAGTACTGGGGTTGTTGTAAGGCCTTCCCAGTTCAGCAATAACTGTGCTCTGCTTCGACATTCCTTTGGGCTTCCCAGTCTGGGGGACTCGGACATGTCGGAGCAGAGCAGGAGAGGAGGCTGCATCTGAAATATATTCGCATGGACGCGCAGATGTAAGAAATTCAGTAAAATACTCAGACATACACTTTTTCTTTCCTGAACAAGGAAGATTTTTGAACTGTATGAAGTTTGCTCTTGATTTATCACTTCTGATCCTTTTTTATTTAATTTTTTGTATGCTGTTTGGCCTTAATGAAGTTTGTGTCACATATTTATGTGGATTATTACCTGGAAACTTTTTACGAGTTGGAATTGCCAATAAGGGATGCTCTAAGTGTAAAGTAAATTAGGAAAAGCATTTTTTTCTATGCCTTTCTTTACTGTATGTGTTTGACAGCACGTCATGTCTTGTCTGCTTCGCTGCTTCCCGGTTAGTCACTGTCCCCTGTGACTGGGCTTTCCCACAGCAACTGGGAAGAGAAAAACATTTTAATCATAGGAAAACTGGAATAGGGTTTGCTTGCAGGTGCAGGTCCTGAAGTGTCATTCACATGTTCTTGGCTTTTTTTTCGTTTTTTTTTTTTCTGCTTTTTTCATGTAGTTATTTTGTGCCATGGCTGTGCCTGAGAACATATGGACCATACCTCTGCTGAGATTCACACTGGAAAAAACACCCTGTTTTCAATCCTTATGGTTTCTACCAGTCAAACACGCTGCATTTCATTCTGAAGAGCCACAAATGTAAATGGAATCTACAAAAATCTTTGCTTTTCACTCCCTGTGATGGGGCAGCACTGCTGGCCTGTCTCTGACATCCCTGCATGGCACGTGGTGCTCGGCCAGACCCTCCCTTGGCAGAGCCTTTTGCAACATTAAATGTAAGCTCTTAGCCCCGAGCAGTTCTTGTTCTGAGCCTTGCAAAGCTTTGCTTCATGCTATTTTTTCAATGGAAGTTTTAAATTAGAACACGATGGTTTGGTCAGTGGTTTCCTGCACATCGTTCCCTGTTGCTGCGCACAGCAGTGAGGCTCCTGAGAGCTGTTCCATGTTTGGACGCCACAGGACAGTAGCAGGGCAACTCCGGTGTAAAGTTTATGTTCAGATTACTGTCTGTAAGACTTTTCTCTTAGTTTTTTCTTTTGAAATCTGAACACTGATATAGGAATATTGTCAAGATCTGTATGTTGTAGCTCCAGCAAGACCGACAGTGATAGATGTTTATATACGTGCAAATGTAATGTTTTTTGTTCAGATGGTGTAAAACATGATCCACGCTGTTTCCTTCAGGCCATGGGTATTCGGCTGCAGAGCTAACCTAATGTCTGAGGCCAATTTCTGTTCCTCTTCTATCTTCACACAGCAACTGGAGCCCCTTTGTTACGCCCAGCAAGTGCCCATCATACCTGTGGCTCTCCCTTCCGTACTGTCCTCCTCCTGTGCATCTTACCTGCTTAGAACCTTAAAGGTGACGCCTTAACAGCTCTCCTCTTCTTTCCCATTTCTCACAGCAAGGCTGCCTGGGAGAACATGGCTCGCATGTGCGTGAGGACTCAGAGGCTCGACGTTGCCAAAATATGCCTTGGAAACATGGGCCACGCGAGGGGAGCCAAGGCACTGAGGGAAGCCGAGCAAGAACCAGAGCTGGAGGCCAGGGTGGCTGTGCTGGCCATTCAACTGGGCATGCTGGTGAGTCCTGCTGACTCACCCTGTCGAAGCAGGGACAGAAAAACTCCTGCATTTTGGTTAAAATTCTGAGATGCAAAAACTTTGGAGGGGAGTAAAACCTGTTGCCAGGTTTCCAGGGATTGACAAAGAATAGTTCTGACAGTTGTTTTTCCTGAAGTCGAGCTTTTCTCCTGGGGAAACGGGCATCCCCTGCTGTGCCGCTCAGCCCCATGTTGCACGATTCCTGCAACACTGAACAGGGGCTTTCCCTCTTCTCCAGAGTCCCCTGAGCCCGTTGTGTGTTCCTTGAAGAGTAGATGAGGATGAGTGTGCAGAATCTGATGCCTGGAAATAAAGAGTACCAGGAGCCATGGCTGCCTAAAGGTGTCACAGATTAACTTGTCTGTTTTCTTAACTGCTGTGCAGCATTTATATGGGAGCTTTCCTCCCATATGAAAAATCTGAATGAAGGAAATATCTTTTAAGGATAGTTTATGTGTGAAATATTAATCAGAAAAACTATTTTCTTGGGGCATGATTCTTCTGAGCTTAATCATTCTAGGTTTGACTGGTTTAAAAAAAATACTTTAAAGTATTCAAGCTAAAATGTTTCAACAAACATATCTGAAGGTCCAGCATGGGAAAGGCAAATTCCATTTTGAGATGTTTGTTTGTAGAGTGAAAGGCTAAAGTAGTGTTCTGCCAGAGAGCGAGGGCTGCCTGAAGGCATCTGAGCAGTTTAGGCAAAATTGATATTTCCTGTGGGGTTGAGAGCTCCGGCCGAGTCCCATTCACTGCTCGTGCTGTCCTGGGGATGCTCTACTACAGTCACACAAATTTCCATCCTGACTTCTCGCGCTATGGGAACAGTAACTCACCTGGATCCAGCAGTGCCCGAGGGCACGGTCAGGCTGCTCTCCCCATAGTGGGGTACACGGGGTGACCGTCCCTCATCCCTCTACCCGCAGCCCAGCCTGGCAGCAAATACCCACCGAAAGGGACCTTGTCTTTCCCAGGTGTCTTTAGTCTGAACCCACACCCCTTGGTTACCAGCAGAACCGAGATCTAGAATGGGATTGAGACCTATCCCGTGGATTGAGAACTGCCCGGAGTGCTGGTGAGGTAGATGAATGCTGAGCATCTCTTCTTGAAGGGAGCTACAGGAGAGTTGGGGAGGGACTGTTTGCAAGGGTGTGTAGCAACAGGACAAGGGGCACTGGTTTTAAACTAGAGCAGGGTAGATTTAGGTTAGACGTTAAGAAGAAGTTCTTTACACTGAGAATGGTGAGACACTGGCACAGGTTGCCCAGAGAAGTGGTGGAGTTCCCATCCCTGGAAACATTCAAGGTCAGGCTTGATTGGGCTCTAAGCAACTGACAGGGGGGTTGGACCAGATAACCTTGAAAGGTCCCTTCCAGCCAAATGCATTCTACAATGCTGTTCCACTGGGTTCTTCTTTATTTAATGTCTTTGTCAATGATCTGTGAGAAAAGCGGAGCTTTTTAGTTTGCAAACCATGAAAGATCCAGGCACATGATCTGTAAGAGGGAAAAACTGGGAATGGAGAACCGATGAAATACCCCTCAGTTCACAGGAGATCAGGAGGTGCTGTGACAGCAAAAATCTGTTTGGGGCTGCATTTGAGGAGCCACCACATCCTGGGGCTTGGATTTGATAACTTCTGTCTTTGTGTATTTGTTGCAGCTACAGCTGGAACATTGACTTCCACCCATAAGTACCTCATTACCAGAAAAAAACCACATTGATGAACTGAAAGAAGTTCAGAGAAAATCAGAGCAAATTGTTAAGCTCTTGGAAAGAGACAAGGAACTCTTCAAGATAGCTGAATCATTAGAATTTGGTTTAAAAAAGGTGTTTAGCACAAGAGCATAAATATGAGAGAAATAGAGTAATGGTTCTGAGTTAAAGTATAGAATAAAAAAGAAATTCAAACTAAACATTTGGAAAAGCTTCCTGGCAGAGAAAGCCATGAGGCTGAGAAGTGTCAGTGCTCTTTCATTTGGATATTTAGATCTATTTGGAGAGGTGGAGGGGAACTGGAGCAAAACAAATGCAGCTCTGTTGCTTTTTTCATCTCACAGAATTGTAGCGCAGGCGTCTTCCATCTCTACTTTCTATACTTTTTTGAATTTGAAACAGTAAAGAGACAGAAACTATTTTTCTGACTTGGACAGATAATCTCCATTTCCTAAATATAGTATTCAGCTGGACAGCAGTTGGGTGGAGCAGGAAAATGCTCCTTCCACGGGAGTACCTCTCAAAGCTTAAAAATAGTAGTTCCAGATCTGCTCACCCTTGCGTCAGCATCGGCAAAAATCCTCCTGTTCTAATTCTGTCTTAAATTCATCACGTTTATCCTTGGGAACAGTTCTCAGTTCTCCACGATTGGTGCTGCTGCCTCAGACCCGCTCAGAGGTCGCGGGGGTCCCTGGCTCGTAACACCGGCCTACCGACCCCCTGGTTTTGGCCTGAGGACCTGCTCCCCCTGGGGTGGGCAGCGCTGCTGTGAGCTGTAGCCCCATGTGAGTGCCTCTCCCCTTTCTGAAGTGGTTTCTGCCCCTGGTGGTGGCCTTGAATTGTTGATGGCTTGCTCGTCTCAACCTCCCAGTTGAAGGGTCTGAGCCCTTTACTTATTTTCACTTAAACATCCCATTTCCCCCTCATGTGCTATTCCAGGCTATGTATATTTAGGGGGTTAACCCCCCTGCTTGAATTATTGGTACTTTAATTGCATTACAATGACTTGCACTAATAAACTGCTCCAAAGGGCAGCGTCTGTCCTGACGGATGCTGGTCGGAGGTAACAAAGTGTCTGTGTGCTCCTCTTCCAGGAGGATGCGGAGCGACTGTACAAGGCTTGCAAGCGCTACGACCTCCTGAACAAGTTGTACCAAGCTTCAAACCAGTGGCAGAAAGCCATCGAAACAGCTGAAGCTCATGACCGGGTTCACCTGCGCACCACATACTACAACTATGCCAAGCACCTGGAGGCAACTGGCGAGCAGAGCCTCGCGCTTGCGCAGTAAGCACCAGTGCCAGTGGCACCCGGGGAGCTGGAGCCCAGGTCTCCCGTCATGACTGGAGGTGGGCTGAGGGGTGGCTGGAAAGCTGCTCAGCAGAGAGGGACCTGGGGGTGTTGGTCAACACCCAGCTGAGGATGAGCCACACTGTGCCCAGGTGGCCAAGAAGGCCAACGGCATCCTGGCCTGGATCAGAAACAGTGTGGCCAGCAGGACCAGGGCAGCGTCCTCAGCGCTGGGTTCTTCTGGTGCCCGGTCATCTCCTGTGACTGATGAGTCTGCAGAGAAGTTATGGGAGGCGATTTTTAATGTGTTGTATTTGTTGTTTGAAATCTTGTTTTTGTAGGCAATTTACCATATAAAGCCTCACAATATACTACTGCTACTACTAATATAAAGTAATTTGTGTTCAAAGCAGAGCTCTGATGTGCTCAGACAGCCCCATTAGGTGGTCAGGGTGAGCAGAGGCTCTGCCAGTAGCTGGTGGCAGAAGCACAGGGATCTCCTGGTGGTGGAAAAGAGGCTGAAGGTGCAGTGGATGGCAAGGTGAGGAGCCCAGGGCTCTTGCCACCTCTTCAGCCAGTTGCACAGGGACATTCTTGATGTTTAGGAGCTTTCTGGGATATTTCTTTGGGCCATCACTGGTGCTTTTGAAATATTTACTGTCCTGTGATCATGTTGCCTCTCCAACTCCAGGTGCCTTGTGGGACCATTTGTTCTTGATGGCACTGGCAGACTACAACACTAAATGGAATTTTTTTTTTTACGCAGGAAGTGAGCTCAATACGAAGGTCATCATTTCACGTCTAATATGTTCTTCAGCTACGAGAAGTCAGACACACACAGATTCGAGGTGCCACGGATGCTTTCTGGAGACTTACAAGCCCTGGAGAATTACATCAAAAAGAAGAATGACAAGTTAGTGCAATGCTTGTTCCTCCTCTCGAATGGGACTTTCAGGTCTGAAATGCAGCTTGTGAAGGGATCAGGGAAGGAGGAGTGTGAATCCTCTCAGCTGCAAGTTCAACTCCTGCCTTATCCATTATGATCCTCCTGCAGCTTTTTAGGATTATGCTGTGGCTCACTCAAGAGCTGCCATGTTAAATACCTTGGCTGAACTCCCGTCCTGTGTAGTTCAGCACTTTGAACATCACCTGAGTTGGGGTAAAGCCTTGTCTACACTCTAAAAAACCCCAGTCTTGAGTTCAAGAGCTCCAGGAGTGAAAAACGGAGGCTCTGGCAATTCTTGTTACTGCAATTAATATTATTGCTTGTCTAGGAGCCTGTGGAGATGGTGGGCGCAGTACCTGGAGAGCCAATCAGATATGGAAGCTGCACTGAACTACTATGCACTGGCTCAGGATTATTTTTCCCTAGTCCGTATCCACTGCTTTCAGGGCAACATTCAGAAGGTGAGGCAGACTGCTCCTCTTCGTTCCCAGTCAATTTTCAGTCCTGGGATGAGTACAGGCACAAAGTAAAGCTACATGGTTTCCTTTTCAGGCCGCTGAAATAGCTAACGAAACAGGGAATCGGGCAGCATCTTATCACTTGGCCCGCCAGTACGAGAGCCAGGATGAAATCACGCAGGCTGTGCATTTCTACACCAGGGCCCACGCGTTTAACAACGCCATCCGCCTGTGTAAGGTATGCGAAGGCGTTCTTGCACGTCTGAACGCAAAGTGGCCTTAGGCCGCACGCAGAATGGAAGTTGTCCGAGCTGTCTGTGCCCATTGTCTCTTGCTCATGTACAGCCCCGCGAGGAAGATGCTCCTGGTTACTGCAGGCATCTTCTGCAAGGTGCACATCAATACCAGTTGGGTTGTATGGGCTGCTACTTTCTTGTGTGTCTCGGCACAAAACTGCCTGAAACAAGTTATCATCATCATCATAGCACCAAGTTACTTGGGTTGCTTTTAGAGAGGAGGGGGTTCTTGGGCCTCTATAAAGCTGTGGCCTTGCCGGATGGCAGAATGCTGCGCTGTGGTTGCTGCGTACCGAGAGCAACTCTTTGCTTTTGAATAGGAGAACAATTTGGATGATCAGCTGATGAACCTGGCTCTTCTGAGCTCTCCGGAAGACATGATCGAGGCAGCCTGCTATTATGAGGAAAAAGGGGAGCAAATGGACCGAGCTGTTATGTTATACCACAAGGTAAATGTGTTTTTAGTACAAAATACCAAACTTTACAATGGAGCAGTTCCCACAGCAGAGGAATGTTAGTTAAATGAAGTGTAGTTTTCACTATATGTATTATTACTCATTCCTTCCTGGTGGGTAATGCTTTATTAATCCACTCTAGGATATCCTGTAAACTGATTCTGCAGCGCTTAATGCTGGTCTTTAAAGACTCATTCTTAATTCCGCAGGCCGGACACTTCTCCAAAGCGCTGGAGCTGGCCTTTGCCACGCAGCAGTTTGGGGCTCTGCAGCTCATCGCTGAAGACCTGGATGAGAAATCAGACCCAGCTCTGCTAGCCCGCTGCTCTGATTTTTTTATTGAACACGCTCAGTACGAGAAGGCAATGGAGCTGCTGCTAATGGCCAAAAAGGTAAAAACCAGTTTCTCTGCTCCCTCCCTGCACACGTAAGGAGGAACACAACAGGGTCGTATGTGCATGCACGTACACTTCTCTTTGTTGGTAAGATGTGCAGAGATATCTGTAAGGATTCAGGTTTCCTCTCATGCCAGTGGGGTGGTAGCTCAGGCTTAACTCTAGGAAAGGATTCCTGACTTTGTGCCTTATTTCTGGCTTAAAACCTGCAGATTTTGTACACCTGCTCTCTAAACTAACTGTCTGGAGACAGGGAAGTTGTAACAGCACCAGTCAAAAAAACCCAGTGCTGCCCCTTGTGTCATACCACCAGTGCAGTTAAGGCACCTAAACTTGTCCTTGTTAGTGTGTTGGCAACTCAGCCTTACTGGAACACAGGCTACCAGCGCAGTCCTGCACCCCCTCCTCTTTAGTGAGCCCTTACGTCTTTCTTTTGTGCGTTGCAAGGGTACAGCAGCTCTTTTCTGGGCTATAAAGCCAGCATGTCCTCCTCCTCATTTGTTCCTGTACAGGAAGTAGCAAAATATTTAACAAAATCTTCCAACTGCCTGTATTTATTTTATCTGTGTTTGCTGAAAACCTCGATAGTTACCTACACAGCAGTGTTCTAGATCGAGCACCCACAGCGTTCGTGCCTTCATGCAGCTCCTGTCCATAGGTTAATGCACCAGCAGCGTGAAGCATCACTGCAGGCTTTGCAGCATCTCATTGCTTTCTCACTTCCACCAGTACCACGAAGCTCTGCAGCTTTGCCTGAAGCAGAACCTGACCATCACGGAGGAGATGGCCGAGAAGATGACTGTCTCTAAGGATTCCAAGGACCTCCCTGAGGAGTCCCGCAGAGAGCTGCTGGAGCAAATCGCCGACTGCTGCATGAGACAAGGCAACTACCACATGGCAACCAAGAAATACACACAAGCAGGGAACAAGTTAAAGGTCAGTTGAGATAGGCAGGGAAAAAAAGGCTGAAGAGGCTGAGCCTATTGCCTTCCTGAAATTTCTCGAAACAAGGGTGTTTTCTGAAGTCTTGGGACAGTCTTCATACAGCAGACTATCCAGACAAGGCATCCTAGCTGTCTTAGCACAACTTATGATTTTATGTTCACAGTGATATTTTTTCCCCCTCTTTTCCCCTGTGCCCCCCCTTTCCATTTCTAGGCCATAAGGGCGCTGCTGAAATCTGGAGATACCGAGAAAATTGTCTTCTTTGCCAGAGTTTCCAAGCAAAGAGAGATTTATATCATGGCAGCCAACTATCTACAGTCACTGGACTGGCGTAAGAACCCAGATATTATGAAGAACATCATCAGCTTCTACACTAAAGGAGGGGCCCTTGACCTCCTGGCAGCTTTTTATGATGCATGTGCTCAGGTACATCCTCCTCCTGTGACTGCTGAAGGCGTCGGGGTTCTCAGTTCTGGACCAGGACAGTCATCTTCTTGCCTCTCTCACAGGTGGAAATTGATGAGTATCAGAACTATGAGAAAGCACAAGGAGCACTGATGGAAGCGTACAAGTGCCTCTCAGAAGCAAAGACTGGAAGCCCTCTGGAGCAGGAAAGCAAACTAGCACAGCTGCAGAGCAAGATGTCCCTGATAAAGCGATTCATCCACGCTCGGAGGTGAGCTGCAGGATCCAGAGCATGTAAACTAATGACTGAAATATCTTACAAGAGCAAAAGCTGTAACAGTACCTACACCTCAATAAGTAATTTGCAGACTTGTTTCTAAAGTCTGCTGTTAGATTTTTCTAGCATGATGGGATTTTTAAAAGTGCTATTGACATGAAAAATGAAAAGGGAACCTGAAACGTGAGCAAGTGTTTTGATAGAGGAGCATGTAGCCCTGCCAGAAAGGCAATTATAAAAACTAACCCAGTAAAAGAAGTCTTCCCTGTTCTGCAGGTGACAAGCTGAATGCTCTCTCTAACCATGGTAATGGTTTCCTTCTGCTTTTCACTAGAGTTTACTCAGAAGATCCCAAAGAAGCAGTCAGGCAGTGTGAGCTTCTGCTGGCCGAGCAAGACTTTGACAATGGCATCCGTCACGGCGATGTCTTGGGATTTCTGGTTGAACACTACGTACAGGTGGAGGAATTCCATACGGTAAGCTAATTCTGCCAGTCTGCAGAGCCTGTATTTTATATACACCAGTGTGGCTCGGTGTAGGCACAGTTCTCTCACACAGGAAGACATCTGATAGCAGAGGCTCCTTTACATGAGCTAAACTGCTCAGCAGGCTGTGGTAGACATCAGGAACTACATTTTCATTTTATGAGACTGAAGAGAAAATGAAATCTTGCAAGACACAAAGCCTAAGTAGTGGTGGGTTCTTAAACATTTACTAGGCAAGAAGAGAAGGGGCTGTCTGGGTGTGTGTCTCAGCGGTTATGCTGTACTTCATTTGCCACCCGGCCAGAGAAGAAAAGACAATTGTAAAGTTGTGGTCATTTGAGGAAAGGGTGAATTATGTTTTTGGGGTAGAAGTGCCAGAAGCACACCCCAGCCTTCCAACCAAACCGTGCCCTGCTGCTGTCACGCAACGTAAGGATGCCACGTGCACATTTCTCCAGCTGTGCTGATTAACCTGATGCATCACATGGTGTTTTGCCAGTGGTTCAGCCAGCCGGAGAATGTAAACCCAGCCTGAGACCCCTCCTGTTTTAAATGGAAACACTGCGAAAGGCCACCGCGTTCGCAAAGGCTACAATGCCTGGCCAAGTGTTCACGCTCTTCAGCACCAAGAGCTCAGCCATGCGCTAAGGACGGATGCGTTTCTGCATTTCACCCCCTTGCTGGGACTCTCATAAGCACTGACGCCCGCCCCTTACCCCCATAACGGTGATCTCTGGGCGTTATTTTAGGCTTACCGCTATCTGGAGGAGATGCGCAGAAGAATTCCACCTCCGAACCTGAGCTACTACGTGACTCCACAGACCCTTGCGGCAGTTCACCGAGGAGCAGGCGTTCCCCTGGTTCCATAGCAAATTCGCCACAGCAGCACGGAGAACAAGGAGGTGGAAGAAGAAGTGGCTGATGAAGTGCAGGACCCTTGACAACTTCCACTTACCAAATGCAAAGCTGACTTAACATTAACTCATTTATTCTGTCCTCATAAGAGGTCAACACAGAGCTGTGACAAGGCTTTTTGGTTATTGCCAATAAATTTATTCTTCCTGGTTGACTATACAAGCAACAGCCCTCCTGTTTTTCTGACAAGAAGTCTGCTGTGAGATCTTCCCTGTATTTTTAGCAGAGGTTATAAATAGCTGGGGTGGGGGCTGGGGAGGTGCGGGAGGATGGCAGCGCTCGGCCTACCTTCCTGCATCTGTACACGCCGTACCGGATGGCGATAGCTCACTCAGTTGGCCTCCACTACAAAGTCCAGATGTCAAGTCAGGTTCGCTGGCTCCCAGCGCTGCACCCTTCCCCCTTCTTCCTCTCCTCCAGCCAGGTGACTGCCGAAGAGGGCCCGGCAGCGCCTGCACCCGTCCAGCTGGCGAGAGGAGGAGGTAAAGGTCATTTCTCCTACCCTCCAGCTAGGAAGGGACAGCTTCAAGTTTCTTTTTCAGGTTCTCCATTAGCAGCAAGGTCTGCAGGGCCAGCCTCCTGCACTCCCCATCCGGATCTTTCTCCATCACGTCTGTAAAAGAAGCAGCCACTGTTAGCTGGAAAAATGAGTTAAAAAAAAAAAGACTCTTCACTTAATGCTTCTCTGCTGTTTCACTGACCATCACAGAAACGCAACGAAGTCAGGGCAGGACATCAGCACTTGCAGGAATTACATTTGCCTGGAAGGCAAAGATGCGCAAACTTGATCTTAAGCGGGATGAGTTTAGTTAAGCCCTGACTGGTGTGTGTAACAACGCTCAGTTTGCTCTTGTAGCAGAACAAATAGTTGGGCTACAGCACTCTAGAAACTGTCTGGCCTCGCGTTCCATGGGATAACCTCCAAACCAGTATTTGTGTTCGTGCCCCTGAGCTACATGTAACATTTCTACAGCTCATCTGCGAGCACGATTGTGGTCTGCAACCAGAAACCCGCTTGCTCAAAAGCCTCAAGTCTCCATTCTGCCAACTCCTGCAAGCTCAGTGTTCTCTCCTGAAAACTGTGGTCACACTGCCCTTCAAGCAGGGGAAGGAGAGAGGCAGGCCCCAAACCGCATCATCCCTGAAGGAGGGGAAGGGGGGGGGCCCGCCCCAAAGCCGCATCATGTTCTCTGTGCCGAGACACTAGTCTTCTGACAAGCTACTAGTTCTTTCACGCTTTATGCAGCACGTAAGAGAGGGCATGACGCTGCCTCCAGCAGCTGTTATTTCAGGGGCCCTTAACAGGCCTGCAAAGTAAAAACCAGGATGCGCGCAGGATGTCTGAGCAGGGGGAGCCTGGAAGAGCAGAGAGTCCCTGTAAGGATATCCTGTACGCACGAGCAGTGTGCTCGGAGCCCGGCGCTGTCAGCCCAAACACATGACTCACTCTGATGGAGTCGGGCTATTTATAACCCTGGGGAGAGCTTCGCCACCACGTTTCCATGCTCCCTCTACAGAAGGCAAAAAAAGGGGAGTCTACCAGGCAGATCAGTGCAAGCTCGAAAGCCGAGGCTGAGGCCGGCGCTGTTTCCCACTGCCATAGAGGCACAGGGCACCACGGTAACATTCGGGTCCTACCTAAACCGAACTTAGCTATGACACGGCTCTGCTGCACTTGCAGGGGAATTCCCCACCCCTTGCAAGGCAGCTGCTGAGGAATCAAAGGAACTGTTTCCTAGAAATGTTTAGGTATTCCCTGCCTCCCCTGGGAAGGATTAGGCTACTCCACAGTAGGTCCAGCATGGCATTAAGGGCAATGACAAGGTGAATCCTTGCCTCTCTCCCCAGCTGAAACGTACCAAAGCATCCACTAAGCAGACAGTGCCATGGCAGCAACTCATACACACCACCCAGGCTGTGACATAATAACAAGCTTGAGCACGTTTGCAGCTCTTTACTAAATGCTTCACAGGTAATGTTTTCTAGTGCGCTGTTCCTCACTGTGCTTTAGCCATGACAGGAGCTGAAAGCCCAAATGGTGACTTCTCCTGGCCACCAGCACTGTAGCAGGCAGCGTGCATGCTCGGCAGCTTCCCGTTTTGCCCAGCTGCAGTGGTAGCTCTAACACATGACACCTCTTGCAACCCTTGTCTGGAAGTCGTGAAGCAACAGCAAGCCCACCACCTTAAAACCATGATTTGGTCACAAAAGCAAGTCTCCAGTGCCTGACTTCACCCGCTGGAGCAGCAAGGAGGAGCCCAGTGCCGCCTCATCAGAGCTGTTTTACCAACAGTCTTAAAACAAATAGCAAAGGCGGAGCCCAAGAAGCTGCTGTGTTCCAGGAGGCAGCTCTAGAAGCCCTTTTAAATTGCACTTATATCTGACCAGCTGTGGCACCTTTTCTTAAGGTTTCTGAATGGCTCCTACATCAATTTCCCCTTCTCTACTACACGCACACCCATGATCTCATCCTGCTCTCATCCCCACCAGGATCTACCACGTAACTTTCACGCACAAATGCTACGTGTAAAGAGCTGGCTGTTACACTACCTACAGGCATAAAAAGATGCTGTTAGCCCTGTCCTCCTCCTCCTTCCAAAAATAACTCATTACAAACAGATTACGCAGATCCTCAATGCTGAAAGCGCATTTATAACATTCCTGGAAAGGCTTTACTTGGTAACAGCAGTGTTAACTGCAGAGACAAGCAGATCCCACAGAGCGCACTGTGTCATGGGAAGAAGTAAAGTTTTTGGCCCCAAAAGAGGCAGCTCTTTTCTTTTGAAAGGGCACAGAAGCTCCACAACCTGCAAGGCTCAGAGGCTGGCTGGGTCAGGGTCATTTCCTGCCTGCTCCCTGTGGGAAGCCAACTCACCAAGAGCGAGAATGGCGAAGGAAACCAATCCAGGGAGTCACATGAGGTCCGCTCAGAACACAGCCGGGGCTTCAGAGCCACAAAGCACCCAGTGGGATCTCCTCTGGTACCCACGGCGATACCCAACCACCAACCCGGGCACTTCCAGCCTTCCAGAACTCGCAGATGTTGATGGAAGGGGCAGCAAAGTCAGTTGCTGTCTTTCATCTTCCCATCAGCGATAGGAAGTTCAGGACATGGGGCCGTGCTCTTCTTCCTCCTATTTTTAGCCCTTATGAAACCCACCTTGAGTGCATGGTGTAAACAGGCCACACAAGCCTCATGTTATTGCTGGTCAAAGGTGCTGCCTGAACGCAACACACAATATGCCAATACTTTCTGCAGCTTCACAAGGTAGGTGGTTGGATCCTTAGAGAATGGGGGCATGTAAGAGAGTTTGGGATTTTTTCAGTTGGCCTATAAGATGGGGACAGCCACGCTCTGAAATGCAATGCGCAGCTCTCGGCTTGTGCTTTAGATAGCTCGGTAACACACCTGTACAGCACGCAGCGCAGTCCGGAATTTGTCTCAACTTACAAGCCAGTGATAAATATATTTATCATGCAACTCTCTGATGCACAACACTCGGACGTTACTGCTGCCACCGTGATTAAAGAGACGCTGCACAAAGACGGCACCGCTAACCACAAAAACACGGGCGTACGCCCCCACATCTTACCTCCCAGCCAGGACTGAGTCTCCAAAAGCTCTTCCGTCATGTCTTCCAGAAGACGCTCCACGGGGACACTGAGGAGGATGGAGGAGATACAAGACAGAAGGCCCTGGCGCACGTACCTGTTGGAGAAAGACTGAACTGGTTAGAGCCTGCAGTTTCGTGTTCTACCTTGATTTCCTCACCTCAGGGGTTCTTCAGTTTCAAGTGTTTGTGGTTATGGTGACTTTTGCCATATTTCTACCGAGCAGGAGTGCAACCACGCACCAGCTGGCAGAGTGCCCACGCACAGAGCCCCTGTCCCTGCAGTGCAGCCTGGCATAAATCAGAATCCTGGACAAGTCCGAGATCAAACCAGAAATAGGGCGTTGACAGCATTTCAGCCACATGACTTAATTTCTTTCCAGGGCTGAATGCGGGAAAGGAATCTAAAGTTTTCTGAGCTCCCTGAGTAAACATACATGAAACTACCACATGGATAGCTGATCGAGAACTTTGTCACAGTTTTCACAGGTAATGACTGTTCCTCCACACTTGAAGACACTGGCCAAGCTCACACGCTGGTGTGACATTAAAGCAATGCCTTCGTTACGTATTCTTACAACACTCAGCCGTAAGAACAGGAGGCTGGAGGAGAGCGTAGAGTTAATGCATTAAGTCATGGACATCCTCAGCCAGGTGCTAGTCTCAGACAAAGACAAACTGTGGCTGGGGACTGGCTCGCAGCTGATCTTTAAAAAGGAAAACATACAACTACAACTCACGAGTCGGTGTGGAAGCGCAGAGCCCAAACAAACTCCAGCAGCGCCTTTCCCATTGCAGCAACTGCCTGCAAAACAGAATTACGACAGAAACGCTGAATTCCTTCATGTTCACAGTGCCCTGCAGAACTGGACTTTGAGATACACTGTGGTGAAGGTCAGCGTTACAAATAACTTTTTCTTACAGATGAGAAAACTTAGGCAGTAAAGTGAAATGATGTGCCCAGTCTCCAACAGAAGTTGATAGTTTTTCTACCAGAAGAAGCAAAAGATAGCGCAGGGGTGGCTCGAACCCACGTCTCTTTTCTAACCACTTTCTCCCAGCCCTTTGTGCAACTTCTCAGCACGTGCATCTCAAACTTGGTGCCAGTCGAAAGCGTAGCAGGCCCCAGGGCATGCTGCTATTTCAGAAGGCATCTGTGAGTTCCCAGGCCGGAAATCTCTCCTGCTACCCACAAGCTCCCGCCGCCTTTCTTACCACGGTGTTGACAGCCAAGTACATCAGGACTGCTAAAGTGTGCACCAGTCTTCCCAGGACAAAGTGATCCTCCCCCAGGAGATCAAATGTTGTCAAAGGCCTGCAAGTGTGAGACACACAGTCCTGTCACACGGGGCCAAGTGCCCCCCAACAAGCTCCTTCTGGGCTCCAGCCGCTCCGA